CCCAGTGAAGGAGACAGATGTTATTTTGTAACTGGCCACATTATAGTCAATTAAGTTACTTCATCTTTCTCATTTAAAATAAGCATTCAAGACACATCCCTGGAAGGACAGTAATTGTTTATCCAAAGTCCTCTTGGGGTTGGGGATTACCTTGAGGTAATGTCCCTTTTGTCACAGATTACACAATAAATACCCAGTCCTTGTAAGACCTATTTGTCAAAACTAGGGAGAAAATGTTGTCGATGTCTTGTACAAAATAAATTCTATAATTCAAAATCCTAGATGGTGGTGAGGTAAGAGACTGATTCTCCAAAATGCCTTGTATCAACAAAATGCCTTGTATGAATATCACAATGATAATGTTGCCTTAGCTATCATGTACCTTTGCTGACTCTGTATGGGCCGGAGGAGTGGGAAGGAGGTGGTGGGGACACATAACTCTAACGTTCCCTTCCCCATGACAGTTTCCAAAATTCACTGTCTGATTCACCGTGTTCCTTATGCCTATGAAGAGGGACATGTCCATGCCTATTTTGGAATTTGGGAAAGCCCAAAGGTCTATTTAGATTGAGCACACTAAATTAAGTAAGCTAAGCCTCATCTGTAAGATGGACCTCAGTTTCCGTGGGTGCATGCAGACACATAGTCCCATACCATATGCCTATTTTGTACCTGTTCCATGTTTTGGCTGAGGCAAAACTGTTTTCAGAGACAGATTGCCTTTGCCAATAATGAATTGAACACAGGTTCATTGCAGGAATTGTAATGTATAATAAAATTTCATAAGCTAACAGCAATACGGGATAGCATCTCCTAATGAGTTTACAAAGAAATAACACACTCCAAACTAATGAGAGACTCCTTACACTATTGTTCCAGGCACAGGGAAGATAAAGGAAATAGTCCAAATTTAGCTGAGGGGTGCCTTTCCATGAGTTGTCTCTCGGGGGGATCAGCTTAGCCAAACAAGAGCGGATGTCCAGTTGCCAGCATTTTCTGACAGTCCCTTGGTGCTAGAGCATGGTGAGAACAGAGACTGAGGTTGGCAGGCAAGATACCTCCTTCATGAGGCCGATGCACGGTTTCCACCATGGCCGGCCGAGGCCAGCCCTCAAACGGCAAGAACTAATGTCCCCAGATGTTTGGAATGTTATTTAGATCAGCAAAATGTAGGCTTGCCCAGACTAAATACTTTCAGCAAGTCCTCATAAAGCCTTGGTGTTTGCAGTTTTAAAGTTTGAAAATTTTGATGATATCATCCTGACATGGCCTCCCTACAGTAAACAAATTCACCTTTTGATCAGAACAATGTCACTTAAACCATAAACTAGTATGGCAGTTCCTCTAGTAACACTGTTTATTCAATGCCATTTCATTGTAATTTTGATGTGATGCTTCTTTATGTCAATTAGTCTAGAGTAAAACTGGTTTTGTTATACCTCGTTTTCTTAAAGTTTCAAGGACCTATCTTTGATGTTAAGTGATGACTTCCTAGAGATCAAAATAGTGTTCCTGAAGCCATAAACAATTAGGTCAGAATGACTTATACTTAAGTTATAAACAAGTGTATTTGAAGTCTTAACAAGCCAAGATACAACATTTCTATAATTGTCAACTTGGAGAACTTATGATTTTGAAATAAGATGTTAATGTATCAATAATCATAATGGCATTAATAGTAATAAGATAATAATAGATACATATTTATGCATCTATAATGTAATAAGCTCTGTAAATAGTAGTATGTTATCCAGTATAATCCTGGTTTCAACCTTGTGGTATATTATTAGGCCAGTTAAAGAAAACAACAAAATTAAGTATATAGAAGTTCAAAGACTTATAGAACATTAGATGTGGCATCTGAGGTTAAACTCCGTTTTGCAAATCCTAAATCCAGTATGTTTAACCACTGTAGCACAATGCCATTGGAAAAAGAGAGAGAAAGAGCATATTGTACACTCATACTTCAAACAGCGTAGCAAATAAAAATCTACTCATGGACACCAATAACAGCTTGTAAAATGAGATTTTCTTTGGAAATCAGTGGGCTCAACCTATTTTGGAGATTATTATGATCTCAGCTCAAAGTTGAGCTGTGACAGGAATCCTTCAAGAGAAGTGAAATTGTTCTGGGATTTCATTCTCTCACTCAACAAACCCACTGAACAAGTTTCAGCCTTTTTAGGGACTCAGGGAATGAAAGTTGGACACTGATTCCATAACCCACTTATGGATATCAGATAGCACAGATTAATATCACTAGTGGACAGACATGTCACTTGTTGGATGATCTTATAAATGTGACCTAGTCACCCAGTGACTAATATTTTTATTTTATTAAAAAATAAAGGTGTGGATTGGATAATTGCTGAGGTTCGTTATAGCATTAACATTCTATTTATAAGTAATATCTGATAACATTCTTACAGTTGTAGAAAAATGTTTCAACATCGCAATATGGTAATATTTCAATATCATAGTATTTTGGCTATGAAGTAAGACCTGGATTTTTTCTATATATATCTGAGCAATTTAATTACATTTACATACTCTAGTTTTATCATCTGTGAGGCTAGAGATAATAATATTCTTCTCATGGTACAAAATAAGGATTAAACAAAATAATGTATTTCAAGTGCTTAGAAGATGTTGTGACCCATTCACCATAATGTTAGCTATTATTGATTGCTTTCATCATCATCATCATCATCATCAACAACACTGCAGATAACTAGATATATAGCAAAATATAAAAGGGCTTTAGTTTATAGAAGCCTCAAATGAAAACTACTCAAAACAAAATATGGTTTGCTTGTGATAGTGCTGATGGTTATAACACATTTCTCTTTGTTGAGAGTTTGTGTAGTTTGTAGTTTTTAGTTCTTCTCATTAGCTTGTTGTTTCCAGTGAGGAAATAAAACATGTTGTAATGAACTTGCCTGATTTTAAAAGTTTCTATTAACAATATCTAAACAAATATAAAAGTTCACTAAGCCACTGTGAAGCTCTTAAATATACATAGTCTCATTTGCCCACACTAAATACATGATTCCACACAATAAATACAGTGGGTCTGATTGTAGAAATCGGGATGTCATGAAATAAAGATGACATGACTTTTGATAGCAGAGGCAGAATTAGAGCCCAGGTCTGCAGATGTTTACTTACTTGGTTCCTACTCTTCCTTGCTATATTCTCTTCTGTACCACTGATACCAAATCAAGCCTCATAGGCAGGCAAACCAGCTGACCTGGAGCTGTCAGTGTAGGTGTGGCTACTTTTGTAACCAAGGTCAATGATGATAACAGTACCTTCCTCGATAAAATCTTTGCGAACCAATGACATAGAATCTCCTAAATTTGCTATGCGTTTGTTATTTATTGATTCTAAGAAGAAAATTTTTTATGATTATTGATCTTAACTGTCAAATATGTGAAAATTCCTTGCATAAGTTTTATATAGAATGCACATACAGCAAATGAATTACAATTTTTTTTAACCACTGAATTAATTATTAAACACTGTTTCAGAAAATAAATCTTAAATGACATTTCCACAGGAGAGACACATGAACTTTTTTTCTCTTTTATTTTAACGTTGGATTTCTTCACTATAGTTTCAGACATCCACTTTTCATCTCTGCAAGTCAAGTTCTTTCTTTTTAAGATCTAGTTTCCAAAGACTGACTTCTCAGTGAATCTAGGTGACTGCAGACCATTTTTGGAAACAGGGGGAACGTTGAGGTTACCAGGCATGGCAGCTAGAATAGAGCTTCATTGTTAATTGTCTTACTGTTCACTACAGTGTTTCTCACTTCAATTACTTCTAACATTACAAGTCTTAGAATAATTGCTGAATATTCTACCCACCTATAATTTATTTCTTATTTCTACCAATTCTTTTTTTTTCTTGATTATTTCTCCTTCTGGCTGTGTAATATATATTTTCCCACATTGCCCCAGCTCAGAAGTCTATTAATAACTACAGATACAATTGTTCTTCAAAATACTTAAAGTTTCTGGTACTTCACTACAAACATTGTCATACTTTGGTGATAAGAAAGAGACATAACTACAGAGAGGAAGAAATATAAAGCATGTTTAAAAATATATTGCTGCTAAACAATGAATTTGCACATAACACACAAACAAAATCACAATGGCTTTTCTTTACTGGGGAGTCAGATCATGTATCCACGATGCCAGAGATTAGACAAATTTTGACACAGCAATCTTAATATTTCAAGCTATTGGATAAGGAATTAAAAAAGAAACACAAAGGTCAATTTATTTGTTTAAATAAGTTTTATTTAACAAATACATTAGCATTTATTATGTACCAATTACTTAAATGCTTTACAGCTATCTGCTTACTAATTTTCTTCTACCCATCACAGAGTTGTTAAATAACTTTACGAAGTTCACATACCAGTACGTAGCAAAGCTAAGATAGGAACACAGTGAAGTTTTCAACAACTACTGAGCTCTTAACTGTTATGCTAACCTATCTCCCAAGATCACAGATATTATTTTGTAGAATTATCTAGTTTACAGGTGAGCTCTTGTTTTTCTAGGATTTTCCTCAACTCTACATTCTTTTACATGGAAGAATATGATTGTAGGATTGAAGACACAGGTTTGCATTTAAGGATTTTGCCAATTCTCTTAATTCTAGCAAGTCTTTTCAACTGAGCAACATTCATTCCCTTCCAGCTTGTAAGGAACAAATCCACCTCTTGATGTGCACAGCTTTGAAGAGTTACCACATCTCAAAACACCACCACTGAATAACAGCGTCTGGTATCAATGATAACCTCTTTTAAAGAAAACGACAAAAATGAAAACAAACCAAATAGGTCATGGAAACTGTCATGACTACAATTTTATTATCCTTCTATTTGTTTCTTTAGAAGGGAAAATAAAGATATTCTTGGTTCATTGGTCACTCAAGTGAACTCAAGTGTTCTGACATCATCTATTTTGGATAAGAAAAACAAGAAAATGTTAGAAAGTAATTATACCATGCCAACGGAGTTCCTGCTTGTTGGATTCACAGATTATCTACCTCTCAAAGGGACTTTATTCTTGGTATTTCTCATAATATACGCACTAACTGTGGTGGGAAATGTGGGCTTAATAATTCTAGTTAACGTCACTTCAAGCCTGAAAACGCCCATGTATTATTTTCTCAGCAACTTGTCCTATTTAGACGTCAGCTACTCTACAACAATCACTCCTCAGATGCTGGTGAATTTCTTAAGGTCCAGGAGAAGCATCTCCCCCTCTGCCTGTGCACTGCAGATGTTTTTCTTTGCTTGTTTCGCTGACGCTGAGTGCCTCATCCTGGCAGCAATGGCGTACGACCGCTATGCAGCCATCTGTAAGCCGCTGCTCTACCCCGCACTAATGTCTAGGAGAGTCTGCATCTGCTTCATGGTACTGGCGTATTTCAGTGGAGGTGTGACTTCGGTGATCCACGTCTGCTTTGCATTCACGCTGCCGTTTTGTGGCTCCAATGTTGTCAACCATTTTTTCTGTGACATCCCACCTCTCCTGGCTTTATCGTGTGCAGACACCCATATCAATGAGCTTTTGCTCTTTGTCTTGTGTGGCTTCATCCAGTCCAGTACTTTCTTGGTCATATGTATCTCTTACTTTAGTATCCTCGCCACTGTGTTGAGCATCAAGTCCTCTGGCGGCAGAAGCAGAACATTTTCCACCTGCGCTTCCCATCTCACGGCGGTCACCTTATTCTACGGGTCACTCCTGTTTATGTACTTACGTCCCACCACCAGCTATTCCCTCAACACCGATAAGATAGTGGCAGTGTTTTATACTGTTGTGTTTCCCATGTGTAACCCAATAATCTACAGCTTCAGAAACAAGGATGTAAAAAATGCCTTCAAAAAACTGTTAGCAAGAAACTGGATTTTCAGATAAATGAGAGTTTAAATTACTTAAAAAAATTTAAGCCATAACCAGCTCTCCCAGTTTCATCATCAATGCTATGCCACGTTTGCCAACTATTTTGTATGTATGTCCAGCAATAAAGGTAATTTTCCATCCTTGCTCTTTTAAAATTCTTTTGTCCTCCATTATGGAAATGTTCCCTCTAAAATTATCCCACTCTGAAACATTTCTGAACTAAAATAAATAGTAATATTTACTCTCCAACTAACTTTATACATTGATTTATTATAGTATTATTTTCCACTCTGTATTGAATGTATACATTGATTGTCTGTCAACTCATCCATATTAAAAGCTCCTTGGCAGTAAGGAATATGTATTTTGGTTTATATTTTAATGCCTACAGAGTACCTGGTATAGGATTATTTTGAATTATTCTTTTAATTTTAGTGTACTCCATGTTTAAAAAAACATTGAAGAGAATATTGTCAAATGAGCTGACTTCGAATCATTCTTCCATTGTGTAGGGGGACATAAGGTTGCCTGAAGAAGCACATCAGCTTCTTTAATAGGGACCTATTTAATCTGAGAGTTATTTTTCATTTTTCAACATAAATTAGTTAAAAATAAGTAAACCACAATGTATTTGTAAACTATATATTGTTATGAGTTTATCTAGCTTCAACTTTATAAAAGCAGCACAATTTACCTTTTGGGCCAACACTTCTTTTCGGGGGAGCAGGTATGGTGAAGAGAAACCTATCTTGTATATTTTAGGGTCTTTAACAGTATCTCTTGTCTCTACTCAGTAGTTTCTAGTGGCAGTCTACCTATTTATGACAACCAAAATGTATCCAAACATTGCCAAACATCTCCTCAGAGGCAAAATTTCCCTGGGATGAATCACTAAAACTTGCTCAACACTATTTCTTTGATCATAAGGCAAATGCAACCATTAGAGTGAAGCCACTGCCTAAGCATAAGTTAGAATAATAATTTGCAAAAATCTCAGATGTGATTTTGTTAATTTTGTTCTGCATTATTTCCCTCATTCCTATTCATGTCTAAGGTCTACTCGGATAATACCCATAGAGACAATTAAACAAAATTATTTTTTTACCATTCGAGTTTTCTTAAAAGATTTTATGTATTTATTTTTAGACATGGGGAAGGGAAGGAGAAAGAAGGACAGAAACATCCATGTGTGGCTGCCTCTCATGTGTCCCCTCCTGGGGACCTGGCCGACAACCCAGGCACGTGCCCTGACTGGGAAACAAACCGGCAGCCCTTGGGTTTGCAGGCCTACGCTCAATCCACTGAGCCACACCAACCAGGGCAATTAACATAATTTTAATAAAATAAATATAAAATTAAAGTTGAATCTATGTTTTATAAAACAAACCACAGTTGAGAGAATGTTACAATAAGGTAGGATATTTGTGACAATTACATATAAGTAGATTTATTTTTCTGCTCCTGTCTATGTGGAGAGAGATTGCTGAGAAGCTGTGTTACTTTTCACACATAAAAGTAATACACAAACTTAAAATACTAAAACTGGTGTTTTCTTTATAAAAATATGTGCATTTAATGAGGACATACATAAAGCCCATGGGATAATTCTCCACCATTACTTTATTTGTATCGAGCATTGGCAGATAGTGGCAAATGGGTTTAATGGATTGAGAGGAATAATGCCAATTTTTCAAGTGAGATCAGACAATGTAATTTGCAGATCATATTTAAAAAATATTTATCTTCAAAGGAATACATTTATAAATTTTTTGTAAGGAATAAAAATATTTTCTTGACACACATGAGATAACATTTGCCTCATCGATGGCATAAAGAAAAAGATAGGACGAATTAATTGAGAATCCAACTTTCTTTTGGCTGCAAACACTGCTAAGTATGATGGAGAAGTCAGGCCATAATTTATAATTGATACCTTGCTATTAGTTCTAATTAAGTTTGGTATGGTAACATCTTCCATTTTGTATCTAAAGACATGTTAATATTTTATCAGTATCTTCACAACTGTATAATAATTTCATAATTATTTAAATTCTGTACACTATTTGGATTGACCCAAGATTTCACTCCTTTATTTATCTGCATATATTATAACTTATTCTACTTCTATGCTAAAATACCTAAGAAATGCTGTTAATTAACAGCAGAACTGTACAAAACCATCTACAACCCTTTCCAAACACACAGATAATGTTTATATTATTTGCATGATTCGACAAAGCTAAATATAAAGTTATACAGGAAGCTAAACCTATGTGAAATATATGCAAAGTTTCCACACTGTCCATAGATCTATGATGCCAGCTGAATTATTAGACAGAAGGAAAGCATACATATTATAAAAATTCTCCCAAAGGAGAGCATACCATTCAATGAATTCTATGTGTGTGTGTGTGTGTGTGTGTGTGTGTGTGTGTATGTAAACGCAACACTTTAATGTGAACGATTGCAAAATATATTTGGGGTATGTTGTCATACGTAATTTATATCAGTTTTATAATGAACCAGTAATGTAGCTAGGGCATGTATGAATGATCTCATTTTAAAGCAAAGAAAACTTCATTTACTTCATCATTAGAGCATTTGAACACTTGTCTGAGTAGTATAGATATGCTTGGAACACGTTTCTTTAGTTCTTGCAATGGCATTAATTCTCTGTATTGTGCTTCCACACCCAGATGTTTGCGCTTTAGAGAACATACTCATTTTTAAAACTGTTTGATTTACAAAAGGGGTATGTTTTATTAAAGTGAAAGCAGAGGCATTAACTGAATAACTAGTGAGAGGACCTGCCTCTCTGATTAGTTTCAGTCCCAGGAGATCTGAGAAGATGCTAATGATCCAACCTGTGGACATCTGAGATTCCGTCATCACCAAGAGACACAGTTTGTGGCACCAGAAAAAAGGAAGCAGACATAAAAAGTCTCCGTCGCCCTCAGCGATAAGTCCTTTAAAGAATCATGATAACGTGTTCTTCTCTAGATACTCCGCTTACTCTCGACTTTTCTGAGTTGTGAGTATGTTTAGGAAGTGAAAATGTGAGTTTGTTTAAGCGTTTGATATTTCCTGTTATCTCCACATTACAGCAATCTGTTACCAGCTGTAATGACTTTGCTACTGTTCCCAAACAGCCAGAAAATTTCCTCACTTGTGGTTTGTTTTTCTTTCAAATGTTCTTAATTTGTGAAAAAGGGCAAATTTACAGAATGTCTGTATCTTTATGGTATTTAATATTGGTTTATATAGAATCTGAAGCTACTTGTGTAATTATTCAAAATTTCAGCTACTCTATGGAAAATGGGAAAATGAAAACTGTCCTGCACGTTAGCTATATTACAAGGAAAATGATTTTTTCCCAATCTTACATAATAATAGTTTTTGGAAATCTTTTACATCTAGTTTTATTTTATGATTCCACTAGTGCTATTGTAAGAATTATTTTCAATTCCCCGAGTCCCCCACGATGCCCTACCTGTAACAACCCTGCGCATGCACGCAGGCTCCCGATTCCCTGAGCACAAGACTCTTTCTGCTACGACAAGCTGCTCCTTCTTCCCACTACAACGTTAGGGGGGCCTGAATAAAACAGTCTTCAAATCAGCATGCTTTTTTTTTTAAGTCTGACTATCTAAACTAAGTAGTTTTGTATTTTTCAGTATGTCAAAGTTGATAGTAGGTTTTTAAATTTTTTATCTGTGGTTATTGTTTGTTAAGGTTTCTTTGTGCCATTTGATTTTCCATCTTGTAGACAATTTTAATCATAAAACATTCAATATACATTTTTTTAAACTGTGTTTATATACTTATAAATTTATATATATAACATAGTTCATATAACACTTAATCAGTTATATGTTTATTTGTATCTAATAGTCTAAAATAACATGAGCAACACTATGAACAATAAAGGATATATGGCATATAGTAAAATGAATTCATTTATAAATATTATGTTAACATAACCATATTTTGTGGGTAAAGCTGCATGAGAGCATATAGTAAGTTCAGGTCTGGTTAACAACTGTGCACCTACAGTATGGCAAGATCATTACATTAAAAACCATTAACTCTTTGGATAGACATTTGTCTGGGTTCACTTTTCACTACAATGATAAATGCTATACACTTCACGATTTCTCTCACCAACATCCTTATCAGGAACGTGTCTATGATCGCTAATCTATGTTTTTTTCTAATGTCTCTTTGGAGTCATAAATAAAAAATAAATTACTATAAATGAATTTCATATGTTCTAAACAAATATCTTTTTTATTTTGATATCTGAAAGTTGAAAAACTTTCATTGAAGCATATATTATACTATTGAAATGTTATTCAGGTCCTTGTTTCCCTAAGAGAATTCTCATGCTGACCAGTATTCCAAGCAGCCTCTTATTTTATCAGGAAGATGACACTGAGGGATAGCAAAGCCCAGCATGTAGTGACCGAGGAATCTTTGTTCTAGCTGCAATATAACAGCGTAAGAGAAAAGTATACCTTGATCCTTGGTAACCTTTTCTCTATTTATTGTTTTCTATTATGACTTTGATAGATAAAGCTGTTCTGAGAAATCTTACTGCTAAGTTTTTGAAGTCACACTTGTTTCTTCTGGGTCCTGGTATTGAGTCTTATACAAAAATATCGTGTCAGTGCACATCTACTATGTGCAATCTATGGTAGTTAAATTGACAGAAGCTGCACTTTTTTCCTCTTTTTCTCTAAATGATCAATAGGAAAGTTATACAAACACTACTGTCTTCATATGTTAAACGATTTGTTGAAGATAAGCAAATTATACAACAGATCAAGGGCAGAATTACATTGGAACTCAGTCCTGCCTAGTTCTAATATCTTCCAGGGATGTGATGTTCCCATCACACTAAGGAGTCTTGCAGAAGAAAAATGTGTAACTAAAAAACACGCAACTGTCCCTTCACCTCCATTTTTTTAAATTGAGCTCATTTCCAAGTTACAAAACTATGATTCTGCATTTAAAAT